CAGTGTGCCGATAGATGATCTTGAGTGTCCGTTGCGAGTTTCGATCGCCAACGAGCATGGGTTTCTGCTTCATCGATCTACCAGGGATGGAAGTTAGAGATTTTCGGGGTGTCCTTCCCAATAGATTTGATTCCTATCCCCATGGGGGAAGTGTGTGTGATTGTAAGGATGGATTGGATTAGCCGTTTTGGCGCCATGATCGACTGTGAAGGACAGTGAGTGGTGGTTCGAACCCCAAGTGGGGGAGAACTTGTAGTATATGGTGAGGGCACCAGGTTGGGATCAGGGTTTTGTTCGGCAGCCAGGGCTCGACATTATATTCAACACGGGTCTGTCGGTTATTTAGTGTATGTGGTAGATACACGGGTTAGGGAGCAGCACTCAGTTTCAGAGGTTCCCGTGATCAGAGAGTTTGCTGACGTGTTTCCGGAGGAGTTACCCGGAGTGCCTCCGGAGAGGTAGGTTGAGTTCAGGATTGATCTAGTGTCGGGTGTGGCCCCTATCGCTAAGGCACCGTACCGACTGGCACCACCAGAGATGCAGGAGTTGTCATCTCAGTTGCAGGAACTGTTGGGTAAGCAGTTTATTCGTCCGAGTAGTTCAACCTGGGGAGCACCGATCCTTTTCGTCAGGAAGAAGGACGGTTCGCACAGGATGTGCATTGAATATAGGGAGCTGAACAAGTTAACGGCGAAGAAACGTTACCTGCTCCTGAGGATAGATGATCTTTTCGATCAGTTGTAGGGTGCATCTTGGTTTTCTAAGATTGATTTGAGATCAGGATATCACCAGGTCAGGCTGAGGGAGGAGGACGTGCAGAAGACCGCGTTTCGAACTCGTTATGGTCATTACGAGTTCGTGGTGATGCCGTTTGGGCTCACCAACGCGCCAGCGGTGTTCATGGATCTGATGAACCGATTCTGCAGACCGATGCTCGATCGCTCGGTCATTGTGTTCATAGATGATATCTTTGTGTATTCCAAGACTCGAGAGTAACATGAAGAGCATCTTAGGGAGCTGCTGGAGGTTTTGAGGCGAGAATGGTTGTATGCCAAGTTCTCGAAATGTGAATTTTGGTTACGAAAGGTCCAGTTCCTCGGACATCTCGTTAACCAGGATGGGATTTTGGTCGATCCGGCTAAGTTGGAGCCGGTTATGTAGTGGGAGACTCTGAAATCTCCCTCAGACATCAGGAGTTTCTTGGGTTTAGCGGGGTATTATCGGAGATTCATTCGTGATTTCTCCAAGATTTTCGTACCCCTCACTCGTCTAACGAGGAAGGGGGTGGATTTCCAATGGGGCCCTGAGCAGCAGATGGCATTTGAGACCCTCCGACGATGTTTATGCGAGGCTCCGGTGTTGACACTCCCCGAGGGAGTTGAGGATTTTGTTGTATTTTGTGATGCGTCCATCACAGGCTTGGGGTAGTCCTCATGCAGAGGGGAAGAGTGATAGCCTACGCATCGCGGCAGCTGAATCCGCGTAAGACGAGATACCCTACGCACGATCTTGAGTTGGGAGCGGTGGTTTTCGCTCTCGAGATTTGGAGGCACTATCTGTACGGGGTCCGTTGTACTACATACACGGATCACAAGAGTTTGAGACATATCATGGATCATCCGAACCCAAACATGAGGAAGTGCAGGTGGCTGGATGTGGTCAAGGACTATGATTGTGAGATCCTTTACCATCCTAGTAAAGCGAACGTGGTTGCGGATGCTCTGAGCCGTAGGCCAGCTAGGACCTCGACCCTAGCCAGGTGTATGAGGATAGCGGTGGATTCCCCGCTGTTGGGTTTGGTTAGGGATGCTCAAATTGAGGGTATGAGACCATAGAACTGGAAGTTAGAGATGATTAAGGGTGAATGTCACACCCCCAAACCAGAACGGCGGAAACGTTCGGGGGCGGAGGACGTCATATTCAGTATCATAACAGTTCATAGAAAGGAAAGTACACACCACCATATATATTAAAGTTTCCAAGATGTTTACATAATTGTATTCATTACATGTTCAAAAGATAAATACATAAACATCATTCAAAAGAAGTAATTAACGCCAGCGCGTTAATCCCAAAAGTTGATTCCCAAACCTGCTTAGCGGTTCCCTGAGAATACAAGTTATTTCAAAGAAAAAGTGTCAACAATTAAGTTGGTGAGTTCATAAGCAGTTTAGAAAAATTGGATGCCATTCCAAAATGGGTGTATATTTTCCAGAAAACGCAGCATTTCAAATGTAAAGAGTTGTGATTTGTTTTGTTGAAAGTGAATGTATTAAATCCAGAAAATCCCATATTTTCCCTAATGGTTGAGATACGAGTTGTTGTGTTTCCCAAGAAAACCCTTATTTTCTTATAAAAGTATGAAATGCATATGAATGTTCGTGTTATAAGTTGTAAATAATTGCACCAGGAAAATCCCTTATTTTCCTAACATAAATGGCAGTCTCTAAGACCAAAACTTTGCAAGAAACCGACGTTCAAAAGTTGTGTCATAGTTTTATATAATAAAGCTATACGAAGATCGCATTTGTTAGATGAAGAATAGCTTTAATAGCTACTCGTTCATAAAAGCATAATACCATAATAATTGTATATCCGATGAGTTTTATAACCATACTAAACATAATATGCCTGTAACGACGTTCTTCAGGCGTCGCAGCGTTATGACAACTGTCACCCCAAAAGACGGACTGTAGCTAACAGTCAGGGCGCAGGATCATGACTTCCCGTATAGATCTATACACATTTGACACGATCTCCGAACGGGAGACTCTGGTTATAGACAGGACTTGCAGCATTACTTTCTAATAAAGAAAAGTAACGTTTGAAGATATACACGTCTCATGGATTCTCAACTAAGCCTGTATTAAAGTGATAGTTTTGTATGCAAAGTTTATCCTTTTTCACAATGTTTGACAAAGCAAAATCATAAGTTTTTAGAATGTATAAAACGACTTAACAATGAAAGGTACTTTGAAATCATTATATCCTTTGTATAAGTCTAATGCACACAAAGTATGACAAGAGTTTTCCATAATAAAAATAAGTTCCAAGTGATTTATTCGATAAAACAAGTGAAGTGAAACTTTATAAAATACACGATAATAACCGTATGTTTACTTGTATTCCCCCCCCTTAAAAGAGTATAAAAGCATTTAAAATGTATTTAAAGTGTGTTTGAAAGGGGTATGAACTCACTTGAAAGCTTGAAGATAGCAAGATGGAAAACCGAGCAGAGTTTCATCTCGGGAAATGGATTTTCCTCGGAAATCTCGGGATTCCTCGGGAGTAAAATCGACCTTCGGGACTTGCACAAAATGACCAGGGCTTCGGGGTAGTGCGAGCACGGAAAATGAGGTAAAACGCAAGAAAAAGGAGAGAGAAGGAGCCATTTTCCCGGGAACCCTCGCATGCTATTTATAGGGGGGCCTGAGAAGCCTCGTACGCGGGGTGTATGCTCGTACGCAGCGCGTACGCGTACGTCATGCGTGACCGAAGCCTCGACTGCCTCGGCCTCGGATGGGACGGCTCAGGCTGTCGGGTCGGATGGGACGGCGGGTTAGACGGGCGGGTCGGATGTCTCGCATAGGGCGACGTGGACGGTTTGAGGCCAAGCTCCTCGGGTACGCAGGGCGTACAAGGGTACGCAGCGCGTACCTCGGATGAGGACGCTGACTCCTCTTCGGATAATACCGAAGTTTTAATAAAAATTATATATAAATTATTTATCAAACTTCGAAAATTCATATCTCCTTCATACGAACTCCGTTTTTGACGTTCTTTATATCCCCGCGAAGGTGAGACTACGATCTACAACTTTCATTTAGATTCCGTTGGCAAATTCCGGAATTATTTTTATTATTTATTTATTAAAATGACGTGATTAAGGAATTTCTTTAAAAATTCATAACTTATTCATACGATGTCCGATTTGAGCGTTGTTTTTATGCATGTTTGTAGTTTAACGATATCTACGACTTTCATTTAGACACCTAAGGTCGGAAAGTGTTTTATTGAAACTTTGCGTTTTTACGCAACTTCGTATTGCCGTTTTTTGTCGGAAAACTTAGAATGATCATAACTTCTTCGTTATAACTCGGATTTTTGTGTTATTTATATGTTTGGAAACCTTAAGACGATAACTACCACATAGTGTACTCCAAATAGAGTTTTTGAATACTTCATTTTTCGATGATATTCTAATTCCTTTCTCAAAGAGGTTACAGGACTCGATTTTTACTGATTTGAAATAACGGGTTGTTACAGTGAAAGCACCCAGTTTGTTCAGGATAGTCGCGGATTGTTGACCCGTTACAGTCGGGTTTGGGTTTCGATGTCCGGAGGGTTCCGACAAAAAGTGATGGAGGAAGCTCATAAGTCTCGTTTTTCGATTCACCCGAGAGCCACCAAGATGTATCGTGATTTGAGTTCGAGTTATTGGTGGCCTGGCATGAAGCGAGATACCGCTTGGTTTGTTGAGAGGTGCTTGACCTGTACGATGGTCAAGGTCGAGCATCAGAGGCCGCATGGTAAGTTGCAGCCTCTGGAGATTCCCATGTGGAAATGGGAACGAATCGTAATGGATTTCATCACGAAGTTGCCGAAGACGGCAAAGGGGTTCGATGCTATATGGGTCATCATGGATCGATTGACCAAGAGTGCCCATTTCCTAGCCATACGGGAGAGTTTGTCAGCAGAGAAGTTGGCCGACCTGTACGCCAATATCACTCCAGTCCTCAAACACGTGAATGTCCATGAGTAATGTTATGGATGCTGGTCGAGAAAAATCACCAACGTTATTATTGGCTTAAGCTCTTTGCCTTTAGGTATCTTTCAACCTATAAGGCCCTCACAA